CCCCACAGAAATAAATCATGGAATTAGAATCACTGATCTAATAAGAGAAGTTGGGAAAACTTCCTATAGAAGGTGGGATATTAACTGATACTTAAACGAAGCCGGGGGTCAGAAATGGGAAGGGAGAGCATTCCAAGCATGGGAAACAGCCAAAAACAAACCTGTCCAGAGCCAAGAGATGGAGTATCTTGCTTGTGGAACAGCAAGAGATCCGGTGTCATAGGATCAAAGAATATGTGGGCAGGACCTGAGTTCAAATCCAGCCTCAGACACTTGACACACACTAGCTGTGTGACCCTGGGCAAGTCACTTAACCCCGATTACCTAAAAAAAAAAAAAGAATATGTGGGCATTGGAGGATTTAAGATGTAAGAAGACAAGAAAGGTGGAGAAGACAGGTTGTGAAGAGCTTTGGATGCCAAACAGAGGATTTTATTTTTTATCCTAGTGCTGATAGGGAGCAACTGGAGTTTTTTGAGAAAGGGGGTGACATAGTCGGACATGCTTTAGAAAGATCAGCTGCGTGGAGGATGGATTGGAGGAGGGAGATTCACAGAATTAGACTCATAGAATTAGCATCACAGAATCAGAACTAGGAACATGTAACTTGATTCATGGAAGTGGAATTTTTGAATCATAGGCTCACAGAATGCCAGTCATCGAATCTAGAATTGGAAGGGACCTGGGGAAGATGCCTGGTCCTTCGTCCAAGACTCTAGGCTGTGTTTGTGAAATTTGTCAGCTTCATCAGCTATAAAACTAAACTAATATGGGCCTCATCGTGCACTGATGTCCACAAGGACTAATTAAAGATTATAAGGGGCTGCCTAACATTCTAAGCATTTTTATAGCTAGGTACCCACCCTATTGTCCTCCCATCACTATGATTTCCTGTCACAAACTATGTGCCTGGATATCTGGCTGCCCCTCAGCTCTTTGCTACCCACAGCACTGCTGATCACTCTCTCCCTCTGCCTTAGTCTTCTTTTCCCGTTGGCAGGTGTTTTGTGTAAGGAACATAGAACAATCCAAGGCTTCCCACAAGGGCACAGACTAGCCCGGCTAGCGGTGATCATCATGCACAGATTGTAACGGGAGCTGAGCTCGGAGTAGGGGTTGGGGAACAAGGGGGGTATGGAAGACGGAGGGGAAGTTTGATTGGTACTCCTATATAGTGGAAAGAACACTGGCTCTGAGGCCAGAGGTCCTTGGTTCAAACCTTATCTCTGACACTTACCACCCCATCACCTTGGGCAAGTTTGTCATTTAAACTTCCTGGGTCTCAGTCCTCCCATCTATAAAACGGGGGAGTTGTACTAGATAGCTTCCATGTGTCCTTCCAGCCAGATCTATGATCCCATAAAGCTCAAATCAAAGCCAACTAGGCCAAATGGGAAAGGCTGCCAAAAGAAGATGGTCCTAGAGGCAGGAAAAGTAAAAGGCTGACAGGCCCGCTCAGCCAATAGATTCCAGTTGGACAAGATGCCTCGTGGAGTTTTTTCCTGATCTTGAATTCTGTGTTTCTATGATCCTAGGACTTGTTTTCACCAGGAATTCCAAGAATCCTAAAACAACACAAAATTTAGTGAAAAATTGTCTCTGAGGACCATCAATATATTTAGACTGAGATTCCCTCGGGCGCCTAGAGAACGGTCACTAGATCCAGAGTCCTTGTACTTAGAGACAGCTAGGTAACACGATGAGTTTGGTGCTAAACCTAAAGTTAGGAAGACTTCAGTTCAAATCTGACTTCAGACAAGTTGTGTGACCCTGGACAAATCGCTTAACCTCTATCTGCCTCAGTTTCCTCAACTGTAAAATGAGGATAATAATAGCACTTATCTCCCAGGGTTGTTGTGAGGGTCAAATGGGATCATATTTTTAAAGCTCTTAGCACACTGCATGACATATAGTTATTATTATTAATATCATTTGTAAAGTGCTTTGCAAATCTTAAAGTGCTATGTTATTATCATGTACTTTCCATGTGGGGTAACTCAAGGCATTGGAGAAATTAGAACATTGGGTTTTCCAAGACCTGAGTCATTCCCTCCTGGATTCTCTGTGACCTTGGGTGAATTCTTTTCCTTCTCTAGCTTCTGTTTCCTCACCTGTTAAATGGGGGAAGGGGAATTGATAGCTATTTTCCTGCCTTGCTTAGCCTCAATTTTCTCATCTTCAATATGAGTATGACCCCTGCAGTATCTCCCTGCTCTGACCACCCTCTTGGAAGCCTTGGAAGCCTACTTGTCAGTGCTATAGGAATCATGACATGTAAGTTGGAAGGGGGTTCAGAGGTCTCCTAGTACAGTCTTCTGTCTTATGGAGCAATCCTCTCTACCCTCCCTAATCATCTAGATTGGAACCATAACAAACACCAAGAGAATGGGGCTTTTTCTCAGAACACCAATATGGTGGGTTAGGAGCTGACAGAGGGAGTGGAGAGAAGTGACCACTCACCCATAGCCACCCTGAGGTCATCCCCTGTCTGACTGATGTGGTACCCCTCTTCTAGGGCACATCTTTCCCTCTCCCAGCTCCTACGGAGCCAAGGATCAGCTGGCCCATGTCTCTGTTCATGGTCAGCTTGTCCTCTGCACCACCTATAGATGCCCAGACCCACTTCTCCCCAATGTTGGTAAAACTATTCTAAATTGAGATTCTGCTTGCTATAAATTCAGCTTAGTGTCCCAGGAGCCATAGATGTGTACCTGGAAGAAACCTGGGAAGGGGGGGTGAGAAAGAGTAATAAGAATCATAACCATTTCCTGACGTCTTGATGGATAACAATATAGAAATCCCCCAACCACTTGGTGCCCCCCAGACAAGAGCTAGCAAAGCAGATGATCTCAAACACTATTGTAACAACTACTCACAGTTTTTAGATGAGACCTTGTAGTTTTGTTTAAAAGGGCTTCTTTCATAATAGTAGAAGTATTTGGTCTCTTCCCTTTGTCTCCTGACCTAGAAGAGGGAACATGTTGTTATTCTAATAATAAATCCAGCCAGTTGCATTCCAAATATTCCCCTTTTCTTCCTTGACTTATTCCCTTCTTTCTTTATTCATCCCTCTCCTGTGAAATGTTTTACTTTTCTATCCTAAGCTACCTCAGAATGTTGCTGATTAGATGCATATTCTAATAGGGTATTCATAGATGACTCGTACCTTTCGTGTGAGGGCTACTCACCCACCTTTGGTGACCACCTACCCCTCAGATCTCACCTGTGGCTCCAAGAAGCTGTAACATGTGCAGCAGCCACACTCTAGTAAACTGTCTTGGCAGACAGACAAAAGTAGGGTGAGGGTAACTGAAAGGCCTTAAACCCGACAGTGAATTTAGGGGATGTTTACCCCAGAATGTGAAGGCTGGGTGGATGAGGACAATTTGTTCCCATGTCTACGAAGGCGGCTTAAGCAGGCACTGTGGAGGGCTTAGAGCTTGCTCAGACATTGAGGACGCCAAGGTCATTCACTGCATCCTGGGCCATTACCAGTCATCCTGACTTCTATCCTTCTACTGGACTCTGACTGGAAGAGAGAGTGAGGCCGACAGCTTTGTGCATCTCTGCCTCTCTTCAATCCAATACACCCACGAGTCAAGACATCACGTGTCATTGGTCCTCTTAGAAAACAAAAACTCTAAGTTTTTCAGTGGGCCTGGGAAAATTGAATCTGTATTCCAGGAATCTGAATCTACTATCGGCGAGAACAGATTCCTTAGCATGCTAATAAATCTCTTTCCTTTCAGTCCGACCTCCTGTCTCTGACCCATAGATAGACCCCCTCTGTCTGTGATGCCTTTCCTGAGTCAAAGAATTCCCCAACAGAAGACTACTGTTCTGACCGCCTCATTTTGAAGATGAGGAAAAAAGAGGCCCCAAGTTCACACAGCTAATGTTGGAGCCCAGATCCTCCGACAGTACAAGTACAATGCTCTACTGGAAAAAGCTCTGGATTAGGAATCTGAGGATCTGAGTTCGAATCCTGGCTGCTACTTACCACCAGGTGTCACCTTCAGTAAGTTACTTAATTTCTCTAGGACTCAGTTCCTCATACATAAAATTAGGAATTTGGGTAAAATGTTCTGGAGATCTCTTCTAGCTTTAAACCTAGAATCCCATCATCCCAAGGGCCTATCTTCTGCACCACAATGCTGTACACTTTCAGTAATGGGGAGCTCACTCACTACATCAGAAGGCAGCGGGTCATGGAGGAACAGCTCTGATATTGGAAGATTCATCCTTGTATCGAACCAAAGAAGACCTTGTGAGGAGACAGTCATTGTCTTCAAGCATTTTAAGGCCTGTCAGGGGATACATAAGAGCATGACACCAAGCCCATTTTGTTTCCACTGCCCATTCCTCGGGGGATGGGAAGAGGCAGCACCTTAAGATTTTCGGGTAGCATTTTAAGCTATTTTCAAGATTCCTGCTCTCTTGCTTGTTCAATTTGACATCTTTTATTCCATTTAAAAATCAATAATGAGGACCCCCAAAACAACAAGAGTTAGCAAGCACTTATTAAGTGATTACTATGTACCAGGCACTGAGTTAAGTACCAGGGGTACAAGTAAAGGCAAAAATAGAGTCTCTGATTTAGAAAAGCTCCAGTTGCAATGGGGGGGGGGCACAACATGCAAACAGCTATGCATATATGAGATTTTATATGTGTGTATATATACATATATATACATATATATATGTGTGTGTGTGTGTGTGCATGCGTGTGTGCATGTGTGTATATATATATGTATATGTGTGTGTGTGTGTGTGTGTGTGTGTGTGTGTAAATGGAAGGCAATCTAAGAGCCTGGGATGGGAGGAGAAGAAGGGGCAGGGGGCAAAAAGTTATCCTTAGCCATGGGGTTAAAGGAAACTTCCAGTGAAAAGAACATTGGCTTTAGAGACACATGACATGAGTTCAAATTCTGCCTGTGAAACTTACTGCCTGTGGGACTTTGGACAACTTATTTGACTTCCTTGGACCTCAGCTTCCTCTTTTGTAAAATGAGGGGATTGGACCAGATGATCTCAGGGCCAGCTCTGGAGCCATGATCCTAAGAGGCCTAAGTATTTGGAAATAGGGGGACGGGAAGAGTGTTAAATTCTAACTCTGCCATTTGCTTTCTTTTTCACCTTAGGCAACCCTTTTTGAGCCTCAGTTTCCACATCTGTCAAAAGAGGAAACTCAGAATGGATGATCTCTAAGATCCTTCCAGCTCTAAGTCCTAGGATCCTGAGGACCCCTGAGAGAGTTGGGAGTGAGCCCATTTCACAGAAGAGGAAAAGAGAGGGCCCCCCGAGTGAGGGGTGGGCAGGCTCTAGCTAGTGACTCAGGCTGTTTTTTTCCCGGGCTAATTGGCTAGTTCAATTAGCAGGGCCCTGGAAGCCCTCAAGCTGTGTTGGGACAAGGCCATATAAAGGCGCCTACGAGGCGCCCTCCTCCAGTCTCCAGCCCCATTGAGGACTCCCCTCAACGATGAAGCTCTGTCTGCCTGCCTTGTTTCTGTTGGCTGTGCTGTATGTGAATTTTGGTAAGGCTAAGTCCCTACCCACTCAGTCTTCTCTGGTGGTGGTTGGGGTGGTGGGGCGGAGGATAGACAGAGGAAGGATGGGATAAGACCCCAGGGAAGTTCTGGGGATGGGGGAGATAGTCAATAGAATTGGGGATAGTTTATTTGGGGAACCCATATTGTATTTCTGAGACCTCTACTTAAAATCTTTCTGTATCTGGAGATTAGAGACAGAGTGGGTTTATATTCATTTGGAGTCATCCTTCTCTATGTGGCATTTACTAAAATTAAGCCCATTTCTCCCTAGTTTTATGCATACATACGTGTGTGTGTGTGTATATATATATATATATATAATGTATATATATATAATGTATATATACACACACATACATATATACACATATATGTATATACACACATATACACAAATGTACACACATACATGCATACATATACATATATACATATTTGTGTGTGTATATATATATATATTTGCTCTTTTTAAAAAGTAATAGTAGTTTACATTTCTATAGCATTTCTTCATTATAGGTTTTTGATGTAAGGAGTTTTGAGTATTTTCATATGCATTTTATAGATGGGAAAACTGAGTCTCAAAGGTGGGGAAGTGACTTGCTCAAATTAGTAAGTAACAAAGACAGAATTTGAACTTAGGTCATAGGATCACAGGATTTTGAGCTGGATAAGCCCCGACAGGGGACGTGATACCCAAGAACATGCAGGCAGTAAGTGACATAGCCAGGTATAGAAACCTGGTCTCCTATGTACAATTTCAAGGCTCTTGACAACTACATGATCTCTATCCAGATTTATTTTACAGTATAACCTGAAGGGTTCTGGGGCACCTGAGTTCAAATCTGATCTCAGACACTTACCAGCTGTGTGACCCTGGATAAGTCATCTCACCCTGTTCGCCTCAGTTTCCTCATCTGTCATATGAGCTGGAGAAGGAAATGGCAAACCATTCCAGTATCTTTGCCAAGAAAACCCCAGATGGGGTCACCAAGAGTCGGACCTGACTAATCCATTGAACAACAGTTGAAGGGTCCTATGAAAGGCTAATTTTACCCAAAGACAACTCCCCTGAAGTTCCACCTTTAGAGACTCATTCTGTCGGGTTAATCAGCTACCCTTTTAAAAAGCAAGTCCCCCTGGGAGAGGTAGAATGCACAAGTAGTGATCACATCCCTTAGTCTGTGGGACCTGAGTCCATGTCTCAGCTCTGAAACTTATTACTTGGACAAGTCAATCCCCTTCTCTGAGCTTTCATTTCCCCATCTGTAAAATGGGATTCACAGTACTCAAAGTGCTGCTTCACATGGTTGTTGCCAGTAAAGTACTTTGGAAACCTCAAAGTGCTATAGAAAGATGAGCTATTATTATTATTAGCTCCTCAAACAGCGCCTGGCACCTAGTTAGGGCTCCCAATAAATGTCCGATGAATTGGCGTTTAGTAAATGAGTGCTGAATTGCATTTCTGCAGATGGATAGAGCTCATTCGACTCTTACAATAGCCCTTGTAGAAGCTAGCGCCTCTATTATCATCATCGTCATTATAGGAGTTAGGAACCAAGGACCAGAATGGGGTGGTCACTTGCCTGGGGTGCATCATTTTTGGAGCTGGGACTGAAATCTCTGTATGATGGCTCTTAATCTAATACGGTTCCATCTACAGTGATACCACACCATTTATCAGTCATTATCAGAGGTTATCAGTCGTTCACACTTTGTTTGCTTCTCACCTCCTAAGCCAGCTAAGACCATTTCCCTAACGAAATAGGTTAGTCGTTTCATTGTTGTTATTGTTTTGGGGAGCAGGAACATTAATTCTGGATTAGGGAGGCACTCTCCTGGGGAAAGCCTGGGTGGGAGCCTGCAGTAGAAGTGAGAAAAGGTGTTGGGAGACTACTAGGAAGCTGAGAGGTCTCAGGTTGCTTGGGGTTTTGACACCTCACCGTGCCATTGGTGTGGGCTCATTGTACAACCCCTTAAACTGACTGACCTAAGGTGGGTATTCTTCTACCCATCTCAATGACTACTCATGTCAAATGCCACTTCTTCTCATGAAATCTTCCTTGATTTACTCATGCAGAAATTCCCCCATTCCCTTCCCAAGGATGTCTGCACCCCCATTTCTGTCCCTCTCCTATGGCCCTTTCAAGCCCTACCTGGTACTGTAGTGACCTGTGTCCATGCTGGAATCCCTTTGAGAATATAAGCTTCATGAAGAGAGGGGCTGTTTCTTATTCATCTCTGCTCACCCCTCTGTGCCAGCCCACAGCCTGGCACATGGTCCATGCTCAGTAAGTATTTTTTAAATGAATAAATAGCAATTAGATTAGATTTGTGGGGCCTTTTGAGGACTTTCTGGAAGGCTACCTACTTATTCCATCCCCAAGATGATGGGAGGTATACCATATTCTTACAATCTTCCTGGTGGTACCTCTAAGGCTGTGTGGAAAGAGGCCTAAATGTGGAGGTGGAAGGCCTGTATTCAAATCCTGGTTTTGCCACTTACTAGTTCTATAGTGCTGGACAACTCACTGCCATTGTGAACTTCAGTTTTCTCATCTGTAAAATGTGGCTAGTGATCATTCCATTCCCAACTTCACAGGACTGCAGTAACAAAAACACTTTGCAAACTTCAAAGCACTAGAAAAATGTGAGTTAATGCTATTATTTCTAGCTCTTTGCCCTGGGCAAGTTTTCCTTTTTCTGGGCCTCAGTTTGCAATGTGGTATGATGAAAAGACCATTAGTTCTTGAGTCAGAAAAATGGGCTCAAGACCTGGCTGTGCCTCAGACTAATTCTGTGGCTTCCAGCAAGTCCCCCCACCCCTCTCTGCCTCAGTTTCCTCATCTGTAAAATGAAGCTATTAGACTAGAGGTGACCTCTAAGGTCCCTTCCAGCTCAGATATTCTGGGACTTAATGTAAGGAAAGCAGAGATGAATAGAGGGAGGGGAACATGATTAAGGTCTGCAAATATTTGAGGACATGTCATAGGGAACGATAGCCTTTCTCTGTATGACCCCCAGAGGGTAGCAGAAATAGGAACAATAGGAAAAGTCACCAGGACACAGATTTCAATGATCTGTATATGTGCATCTATGTGTTTATGTATATGTAAATGTTTGTGACTATGTATATGTGTTATGTGTTTATATATGTGTATATGTTATGACTGCATGTGTGTATGTTTAGGTGTATATGTATATGTAGTATAGATGTGTAAATATATGCATGTGTGTATGCACGTGTACACATGTGTTATATGTCTGTGGCTATGTACATGGATGTGTGTGTCATGTGCTTTTGTGCTTGTCTATGAGTACATGTGTGTTTATGTATATGTGTGTTATCTGTATATGTGATTATATGCATGCACGTATATGTGTGTATGTGTGTATATGCGTGTGTATATATTGTGATATTATAAGACTCTTAAGTTTCTATGTCTCTAGGATTCTATGCCTACGTGATCTTGAACTTGTATCACTCCAACTCTTTCCATTTCTTTTTTCACTCCTCGTGCAGAGAGACAGGATATCTAGGCCCATCCCCGAAGGTCAGGCGGCAGAGTTAACCCTGAGTGGGGTCGCCGCTGCTCCCTCCCACAGTGAAAGGCTCCCATAGAGCAGAGGCTCCACCCATAATCCTGCAAGGAAACCTTGACCCCTCCAATCCCAGCCGTCCATCCTCTATTTGACCTTCCTTATCATTCCTTTCCTCCCCCAGTTCACTCCCTAGAATGCCACGTGTGCTGCGGGCCTGAGAGCTGCCGGGCTCCTGTCGAATGCTCCCCAACAGACAAGCACTGTCTTATTACCCGGGCAAGTGAGTATTCCCACAGCCCGCCCTCTCCCTGGTCCCTATTCCCTCTAACTTCCCCTTCCCCCAGGTGGGGACATGAACTAGGGAGTCAGACCTGACTAGAACCTCTAATGAGGCAAAAGGATGCCCCAAAGGGCTCAATTGTCCTTCCCCCATCCAAGAAAGCTCAGAAAAATTTCCTTCCTTATTTCCCTGGCCTGGGAAGCCTCCAAACCAGCTCATAATCATAGCAACATTTATAGAATGCTTTAAAGTTTACAATGAGATTTTAAAATAGTATCTCATTTTATCCTCACAACAACCCTACAAGGTAGACTTCACAGATGAGGAAACTGGGGCAGGCAGAAAGAGAAAGGTTCAGTGACTTCCTCAAGGTCACATAGCTGGTAAAGTGTCTGGGGCTGTATTTGAACTCAGGACTTCCTAACTCCAGGCCCTGCACTGTATCTACTGCACCCATCAGGTATAGAGCTAGCAAACTTGCTATGGCCTTGTAATGGAGAAATTCCAAGCAAAGGACAAAAAGTCCCAGCTAGTCTTCCTGGCTATGTTCTAGACCCAAGGCAGAAGTCCATGCCTGGCCAGGGACAGTTAACGTATGTGGAATGAGGGGCTACTGTGGGCAGAGCCCTGTAGTAGGAACACCGGAAGTTGAGAAAAGAATGAAGAAATTCTATGATTCCATAGAGCCACTGTTCTTGGGGATTCTCTGGTCTGAGCAGAGAGCGATTCCCACTAATAGGTTACTGCTTGGAAGGACAGACAGGACAAAAACACCAGAAGCGGCTTCCAGTTATCTTGGGACACCAGAGTAATTGCCATCATTTCCATTGCCCTCAAGCTCTCCCAAGCTCTCCTTTACTATTACCTTATTTGAACTCAGAAAGGATCCAGGACAATTATTCTTATTCCCATTTTACTGATGTGATAACTGAGGCTAGGCAAGGCGGCCGTGGCCTCACAGCAGGTAAATGTCAGAGTTAGGATACAAACCTGTGTCCTTCTGACCTCAAATCCGAAACGTTCCCATTCTACCAGTTGCCCTCTGCATCTTCAAAGTCACACGATAGATTTTGATATTTGGAAAGATGCTCAAAGAATGTAGCACTGAGAATAAGGAAGACTTGGGTTCACATCCTGCCTCTGACACTGGCTATGCAATTATAGCCAAGTCACTTTCCCCCTGAGCCTCAGTTTCTTCATTTGTAAAAGGGGGATAATAATATCCATGGAGAAGTTATTATAAGTTATGTGAAACTCCTGGCCAACGTCAAAGCATCACATAAACGTCAGTTATCATTGCTGCTGTTGTTGTTTTTACCCTTGATTGCATCACTAAGCAACCTAGCAAAAATTAAATACAGAGTATTTAATTATTAAATTATTAATTATTAAAAAATAAATACAGAGAACACAGAGTAGGGAAGCAAATAAGGAGGCTCATCACGGAAGACTCCCTGGAGAAGGAGGAGTTTTCTCATAGGACTCAGTAACCCCAGATTGGCTGTCTCTACTGAGATGTGCCCCAGGGCGGAGGGGAGGGGTCAGAGATTAAACAAAATCTGTAGATTAAAATTGGGTATGGATGAAATTTTTAGTGATATTAGTTCCCATCTTAGAATCCTTGAGGGTTCATGAAGAGCTTTCCTTACAACTGTAGTGAGTAGGTCAGTCAGTCAGTCAATACACATTTATTAAATGCCTACTATGTGCAGGCACTCAGAAAGATCTGAGTTCAAATCCACCCTCAGATACTTACTAGCTGTATGATCCTGGGCAAGTCACTTAACCCTGTTTGTCTCAGCTTCCTCACCTGTAAAATGAGTTAGAGAAGGAAATGGCAAACCACTCCAGCATCTTTGGCAAGAAAACCTCAAATGGGGTCATGAAGAGTCAAATACAACTGACAAAAATGACTGAACAACAATAAATTTTCTTGAGGCGAGGGACATCTATCCTAAGTCTATCTATTCTAGGGGAAATCGTAAGCAATTAGATTCCTGTGAAATTTTATCTGTTGAGCCTCATCTGGAAGAGATGCTATATAAATGAAGGAGAGGCTAAGACACTCTAGAAATGTCTACCCCAATACCCCACTCCAAATTTTCTCCCTCCCTTCTCCATTACAGGGCCTGCAATTCCACTATTAGAGGTTCATTCCTTTGGCTTGAGACTCAGTCCCCGGCTGAAATGCCAGCTCCCAGAGAGGAGATTTCACATTAAACCATTAGCAATCATGTACATAGTGAATAAAGTAGCTTGCTGTAGTGGAAAGAACCCTGAAAATCAGAAGAACAGGATTCTATTTCCTTCCCTGGGTCTCAGTTTCCCCATGTGTAAAAAGAAAGGGTCGAACTGGATGATCTCTAAAATGTGTTTCAGCCATGACATTCCAAATTATATAAATGTGCTAAGATATCTTAGAGCTCTAATATTCTAGGATTCTGACTTCTGATGATCCAAACGAGAAGCAGGACAAGGCCCGGTCCATCATTTTTTTTTATTATTATTTTGGCTAGGCAATGGGGTTAAGTGACTTGCCCACGGTTACATAGCTACTAAGTGTTATGTGTTTGAGGCCAGATTTGGACTCGGGCCTCCTGAATCCAGGGCTGGTGCTCTATCCACTGCTCCACCTAGCTACCTCTGGCCCATTTGTTGAAATCAGCTCAGGTACTACTTTCTTAAGAAGTCTTCCCTGATCCTCTCCCTTCTGCCACGTTCTCTTAGGTAGAAATGATCTCTCCTTCCTGCAGTATCTCTTAGCACTTTTCCTGGGTCCCTCCTTTGTACTCATCACTTTCCTCACTGCTTACTTGTGTCTGTGTTTTTGCCCTACCTGTAGATTGTAAGCCCCTTGAGGTCAAGAACTGTGCTCTTTTTTTTCTTTTTTTGTTTCCCTAGGGGAAAAAAGCAGAGAGACGAGGACTTGGGTGCTTATTTAATAAGTGTTTATTGTTTTGAACGGAGAAGGGCCTCTCCTCCTAAATTTTCCATTCCTTAATCTTGACCTGTTTTATAAATCCATGGTTTCATCTGTCGCTAAGTCCTGAGGTTCCCAAAAGCTATTACACTACCAGGTTTTAAGTCAATAAGGTCAGGAGGTGGGCATCAATGAAGATCGGTAATCCTACCTATCTTACCAGTTTAGGCCTCCAGGTGCTGAGTTCCCTGAAGAGGGTGACTCACCATCCCTGTGTCTTCTATCACTCATTGGAGCTGGGAATAATGCCTACCCCAAGACTAGCATGGCAGGCATCACATGAACACAGAGATGATGGCCGGATAATACACACACTTACACACACAACTCTTCCCATGCCTGCTTAATGACAGGCCAAAAGGGGCTTCAAAATCCATGAATGATAGGTGCCAGGCCCTGGACCTAGAAGGCTGTTATTATCTTGAATTCCTGGCAGCAAGGAATTGGTAGCAAGGAACTGGTAGCAGAATAACCCAGATGTTGGTCGAGTAAAGCCCCAGTCTGGAAATGGGTGAGGGAACCACCACCCTGGGGCTGCAACAGCTTCCAAGAGTTAGAGGATGATAGAGCTGGAAAAGGGATAGAGAATTACATGAGAGGTTAACAAAATGTAGTGGAAAGAGCCCTGGGTGTAAATCCTTTTTACTGGTTGCGTATATGACTTTAAGAAAGTCACTTCTCTTTGAAAGGTAGCCTTTAAGGTCCCTTCCCACTTCCAATCTTGTGACCCTGTGATCAATTATTCCAATTACAAGAAAATTACCAGGGCAGCTAGGTGGTGCAGTGGACAGAACACCAGCTCTGAAGTCAGGAGAACCTGAGTTCAAATCTGGCCTCAGACCAAACACTTGACACTTACTAGCTGTGTGACCCTGGGCAAGTCACTTAACCCCAATTGCCTAAAAAAAAAAAATTACCTCCACCTCATTATGTTTTTTTTTTCCTTCTGAATGGCTCCATCTATAGTCTGAGCTAATCTTTAGAAACTAATACTCTAGAAGGAGTGAAGGGTGTCAAGGGGTGTTTTCATTCATTCATTCATTCATTCATTCAACAAACATTCATCAAAAAGGATCCTTTGCTTGGAGCTGAGGGAGCTCAGAGCTACAAAGTTTAGCTAAGATGCCATCCCAGCCCTCTTGGAGTTTGCACCAGTTGATATCTCTTGCTCTCCCCCTTCCTCACCCAATCTAGACTATCTGAAATCCCTCCCTCCAACCCCCCCCAACTCATGTCTATCAGAAGCATCTTCTCATCCCTCCCCACCTCTAGACCTAAGTACTGAAGGCAATCATTTAGTGATGCCAGCTCTGTGATCTTGGACAAGTCCTTCCTCTCTGCCTCCATTTCCACATCTATAGAATGGAATCACCACTCCTTGTACTAACACACATCTTTCCTCTTATTTTGGGGGGGAGGGAATTGAAATGAAAGGTGTGATTGGGATTTGCCTCCTAATTTTTCTCTCGTATGTGTAGCCCTGTCACTGAACTACCCACCCCCGACTCCCCACAAATACCCCCTTAATTCTAAATTCTCACTTCACTTTTATGGTCCTCAGTTACACTTCTATAAAATAAGGGGTTTGGGCTCAATGATCCTGTAATCTGCTCTTCTAAACCTTATGATTCTATTATTGTATTAGACACTAGTTTTCATCCTTTGGAGAGGGCCCAGCTTCCAGCACCTCCTTAGACCCAGTAATATTATTTATGAATTCTCCTTTCCCAAGGACCCCCTTGGGTTGAATTCAACTCAGCAAACATTCAAATACCTACTGAAGGCAGCAGTCTGTGCTAAGTCCTCGTGGAGGTATAAAATGTGAATGAGGCCCTGACCCATAATACTAGATCCAGAGTCAAGTGGGGGTGTGGAACACTAACAATGGTGGCAATCATACACTATACCATACTATCACACAACACCAGGACTCTAGAGCTTGAAGGACATCTAAACCAATCTCAGTTTTCAAATGGGGAAACTGAGCTTGCCCCTAAGGAACTTACCACTCCACTCCAGTGGAGTCTATTTTTCCATGTACAATAATACAGTAAAAGACAGAGCTAAAGGAGAGATCCAGACAAAGGGTTCCAGAAGAAGTTAGAAGCCAAAGATGGCTTGCTAGGGTGGGGGTAGAAAAGCAGGTGAAAGCATTCAGGTTTCTTTTTTTCTCATTTATGTATTTAATGAGCAAACATTTCCGAAGCACCTACCTTGCCAGAGTCTAGTGTTGAGGAATGAGCATACTTTGAAATGCCTGAGCTGCACATGCCCCCAGGGCACTCACAGTTTAGAGGAGAGATAACACACACTGCCACAGCTAAATCTCATCCAGAGGAAGAATGATATAGGTGGTGCAAGAGAGGAGCTGAGACAGGGCTGTAAGGTTTCAGAGGAGAGGAAGACTACATCTGGTTGGGAACAGCAGAGGAGGCTTGATAAAAGAAGTAAACATTCAGCTGAGCCTTGAATGATGGGGCGGAAATAGCTGGGGAGGGGCTCCCTAAATACTAGGGCTGGGTCTACCCATTAGAACAAGGGCTGAATTTCTGGGGAGGGGGATGGGAAGGAAGAGAATGAAACATCCCTCTCAAGGTTCCATCTTCTTCACCTCCTCCCTACCTGTCTTCCTTTTGTAGGATCACAGAATCTTGTACCTAGGAGGAATCTTATCTGCAAAATGACAGGGTTGGACTAAGCAGGAATTCTTAACCTGGGATGCACAGACAGTAGATTTCTGGGGGTCTGTGTACTTGGATGGGACAAGGATTTTATCTTTACTTCAATAGAAATTGGTTTCCTTTATAATACTATGTACTTTATTTTATGCATTCAGAAACATTTAGAGAAACAGTCCATAGGCTTTACCAGATTGCCAAAGAGGTCCATGATGCCAAAAGGTTAAGAGCCCTTAACCTAGATGATCTCTAAGGTTTCCTTCTAGTTCTAAATTCTGTAGCTTCCAAGGGCAGGCCATCTAACTCTGTTTTTGAACACGTCCAGAGCCAGACAGATCCTCCATCCTCCAAACCAGCTTGTTTCCTCATGGAATTGGCAGCTCTGATTGTTAAAAAGTTCTTCCATATAATGAACTAAATTCTTATTGCAATTCACAGGCTTCCTGTGTCTTTCTCCCAATTCTTCTAGTTCTACCCTCTTGGGCCACATAGAGAAGGTCCAGCTCTCATCTGGATGGACAACGGTAACACCTCCTCCTTTTATTCTTCCTCCCCTTCCTCACTTACTCCCAAGGAAGGAAAGTGACAACCACGATGACTCAAATAGTAAATAGTAAAGCCAGGATTCAAAGCCAGGTTTTCTGACTCCAAATGCAATGTTGTCCCATTAAGCCACTCTAACCCTCCCCATGCTGTCTCCCTCCTATCTCTTGGAGCATCTGCTTCCCTCCTTTAGACTTCCAAATGAAGGGATTTTTCTCTCCCTTTGAGTTGCCATTTTCCACATCTATTGCTCATGCTCATATCTGTTTTGTTCTCTACTTGACCCAACTACCATTTCATAGACTGGCAAACTAGGTCATTTAGCAACTTAGCCTTGGACCCAGAGACCCTTGGTCACCTGGGCAGAATTGTTTCCTTCCCCCATGAGAGGTGAAATTGGAGAGGACACAGCCCTGAGGTTCCTTCTCCTCTGAGGGGAGGGAACTATCATGGTCTGAGCCCCTGGATTCTCAGACCCCATGAACCAGAGTTGATTGGGAAGGGCATGGACACCTTCCCTATGGAATAAACTGTATTCAGTATGGATCCAATATGAGATGTGGAGATTGAAACTTGGGGAATGTTTCTCTCTCTGGTCCTTTATCCTCACTTATATCTCAGAAGAATCATCTTTGATTCTTAGGGTAGGAGAGAGAGGGAGGAAGCAGAAAAGGAAACCCCAAAGGAAACTTCTCTGAGGGATGATTCATAGAATACAATCACAAAAACGTAAAATGTCAGTGCTGAAAGAAATCTTAGGGGCCATCTGATGTAATCCTTTCATTCAACATAGAAAGATATTAAAGCTTATGGGTGGGGAAGGGACTTTCCCAAGGTCACTTAGCTAATTAGAAACTGCCAAGCAGAGAAAAGTTAAATGACTTGCCCAGGGTCTTACACATAGTAAGTGGCAGATCAAGGACTCAGCCAAGGTCTTCTGACTCCAAGACCAGAGCTCTTATCACTACAACACATTGCCTCTTGACATTATTGCCCATATAGTCCAGTTCCCTCATTTTATAGAGAGGGAAACTGAGGTTGAAAGTAGTAAAGTGACCTACCTAAGGTTTCACAGGATAGTAAGTATCAGAACAAAGCCCTGAACCCAAGTCTTCTAGAACTAGATTCAATGATCGTTCCCCTATAGAATTGTGGGGTAGCTAGAAACCCACAGAACTTAGATTATGGTTCATAAAACTCATCAGGCTTCCTGGCCCAGTGTGCTCAGTGGCACCCTGGCTTTTGGTTCTGTTTGTCCATGTCTTCTGATGTCCAGATGGGTGCTTGCATGACTTTGGAGAATGGACACTGACTCTAGAGAGTTGGAAATATAATGTTCATGACTGCACTACCTCTGACTGCCTCTTGAAAAAAGCCCTTGCAGGCAAAATCCCTCCAGCCTCTAGTTAAGCATCCCTTAATTTTTGTGTGTTATGCCCCCTGCTTTAGGCAATCTGGTGAAGCTTAAAACCCCCTCTCAAAATAATGCTTTTAAATTTACAAAACAAAATACATAGGCTTGCCAATCATATTGAAATGCAGTTATCAAAAAAATTTAAGTTCATAATCACTAGGCTAAGAATTCCTGAGTTCAAATCTGGCCTCAGACACTTGACACTTATTAGCTGTGTGACCCTGGACAAGTCACTTAACCCCAATTGCCTCACCAAAAAAAAAAAAGTTTAAAAAATTACTCCACCTTGAAAGAGACTCTAAACTGGATACCTGCTTTTTAAAGGGCCCACTAACTTTGAAAAGGGCTCTCTCTGACAAAGTCCAAAAGATTCCCTTCCTACCATTTTGCCTTTTGGCTTATGAGAAAAGGATGTGCTTGTCTTTTAGAGTGGTTGGGAAGGTATCTGCCTTGTAGCATCAAACTGTCTGACATCTGACCTCACCTCATAGCAAAGAAGAAAAAAAAAGGTGATTGAAGTATTTGCAAATGTAGCCTTTTCTTTTTTTCCCTCAGTCAGTGATTTCCCTGATGACTACAAGCTCTCCAACTCATTAGGAATTTAGCAGCTATGATAACTTTGATTCCTCTAAGCTTGAAAGATTACAAAGTGATCTCATAACAAACTGATAATGATAATGATAACAATTTATAAAGCACTTTAAGATTTGCAAAGCTCTTTTCATATATTATCTCACTTAATCCTCATGATGACCTGGTGAGCTAAGTAATATTTACATAATAATAATTATTATTATATAGCATTTATGTAACACTTTCAAATTTGCAAAGGACTTTACAAATATTATTTCATTTGATCCCCACAACAACACTGAGAAGTAAGTAGGTAGGTTATTATCCCCATTTTACAGATGATGAAACTGAAGCTAAGAGCAATTGAGTAAGTAACTCACTCCAGGATCACAAAGTGTCTAAAGCAGGATTTGAACCCAGGTCTCCCTAATGCCTTAGTCATAGGATTAAGAATTGGGAGAGGTCTTAGAACTCATCTGGTTGAGACTTCTCAATTGACAGATTAGAAAAATGAGAGCCAGGGAGACAAAGTGACTTGTCCGGGGTCATAGAGGTAGTAAGCAGCAAATGAGATTTGAACACAGATCCTATGGTGCTTTAGACAGTGTTCTTTCCTATATCACATCACTACATTATACTGACATGGCTTTTCTGCCTTCCCTGCCATACCCTACACTGACTTGCAAACAGATGTATGTACAAATTAAGACAAACTCCTTGAACTCAAACATTTCTCATCTTGTGTGTTCATCACCTAGCAGAGTACGTAGCACATAGTAGGCACTTAATGATGTTTATTGGATTTTATAGGATTGAATTGTCTCTAACCTGATTCCTATTCCAACAATGGAAATCTCCTTATACTTAATGGATTCTCAAGCTTGGTCAATAGCTTCCTTATTTCAAGTTTCATTTGATTCCACATGCTTGTAGATCTACTCAGAAATTTGGACATTTTCTCAGAGCTCCTCATAACAAGTATCTGCTTCTATTGCAAGAGGATATTGTAAGGTTTAGTGTAAGAAAACACTTTCTGACTATTGGAGCTGTCCAGGGTTGTGCTGAGGACAGCTGAAACTGGCCAAATCTTATGTTTTCAGTGTGAACATTCACACGATGGAAATTGGGACAAATGTCTAGAAATCAAGGCTTGCTTCTTTGTTTTGTTAATTGTCTAGATTTAAGAAAGTTATGGAAAAAATTCTAATAATGCAATTTAAACTTAGAAGTAAGTCCTGTGAACATTTCCTCCCACCCCACCCTTCAGAGAGTCAGTTGCTAAACATTTACCAGCATACCCACCCCTGAAGCTGCCCCAAAGTTGCATGAGCTACCTAAGAAAACCATGAGTCCCCCACTATTGGAAGTCTCCAAGTGGTATCTGGATAACCACTTGTGACAGAGAATCCTGAGTTGAGTTGGGCTACCACCGAAGTCCCTTCCACCTCTGAGATTCTCTGATGTTGTGATGATGTGGGGGGTGCAGAACAAAGGAGCATTCAGTCAGGTGGAGCTAATCAGGGGAATCTCTGGACTCAATAAATTCAATTTAAGAAGAATGTATAGCACCATTGATAGGTTTAAAAAAAAAAGAGAGTCTCGGTGGAGAGTGCTGGGCCAATGGTAAATGCCAGTTTTTCCTCATACAGAATAATCTAGAGTGCTCTATCATACCTCACCCATCTCTTTTCTTTCTTCTCTTCCAATTCCAGTCAACTCAATCAACCCAAACCATATCCTGGTGATGAAGTCCTGTGCCCCGACGTGTCCAAACAGCACCATTTCAACTGATGGACATGCCATTTCCGTTGCCTGCTGCCAGTCAAATAGATGCAACGGGAAGGTGGAGACAGATGCTTCTGCTGGCCTAGCCATCAGTCGAGGGGTTCTGTGGGTGGGTGTCTCCGCCAGCCTCCTATGGGTGCTCCTCCAAGCTTCCTGGTGAGGAGATTTTTCTTGTCCTTACCACTCTACTGTCCTTAAAGTCTTCTTTTCCCAAGATATCTTTACTCAGGACAGAACCTCCAACACCAAAGGACAGATTTCCTCCCAAAAAAAAGAGGCCCACAGGACAGGGTCTCACTCTTTCCCCCAGTTTCTGCAGGGAATCCAGAAGAGGTACTCTGTCCAGTGGCCTGGCTCCTTGGGTATGAGCCTGACCAACTCCCAGTATTAGCATTTCTCTTTTACCTTTCCTCTTCCCTTTCTTACCTGGGGTGCTGATCTTTTCTCTGCTGTTTTTCTGCCTCTTGAGGATAGAAAAAAATTTTCTGTTTGGGGGCGAATAGCCATGCTTGGGATGGGGAGGGAAGAGGTCATGGGGGAACTGTGAAATTTTAATGTTCTAATTAAATAATCACTTCCTTCTTCTTTTCTACCACTGTCCTACTCAACATCAAATCTCCTTCCCCTCTTTAATCCTTGGGAGACTCAAGATAACCTCCCCTCAAGGCTAGTCAGGGTAGATGACCTGATTAAAGGAAGCATCACTAAAAAGAGTAGCTTTTAATCATACCCCCTTTTTAAATGGGTCACCCCATCATCACATGACTATGTGGCTTGGAGATGGGGTAGAGGATGGAGATGAAAGGTACATGATTTCCTCGAACCCATCCTATAAGCAATATTGGGGGGGGAGGGTAGAGGCATCTCAGGCATTGTTTTCCTTAAATGGAAATAGGATGAGGAACTGGGGTTAGGGTGAAGGGTGCCACATCACCTGAATCAGAGATGTGCCTACCTACCTCACAGGGCTGTTGTGAGAGGAAAAACAATAAAAGTAATTAAAATTCCCTTTGTGTCCCCTTTGAACCCAGAGAACTCAGAGAGTCCAGGATTTAGACTTAGCCTATGATGAGCGCTAAGATAGTCTATGGCCTTTTAGTGTGGGGTTAAGGTTAGGGAGGGCTTAGTTTATGACCAAGGATTGAGTTTATTCTGTGTTTGGAGTGAGATACAACAGCAACAATGTGCCATCTCTTAAGAACTCCCCCATTACTTTGTTCTTGCCTCCTAACCCCAACACAGGCATCTGTCATCCACAGCCTAGCTCTGGGCCCCTGGCTTTCCCCTATCATTGAATATTCAAGCTGAAGGAGAACCTAGAGATGATCCAATACAACCCCCTACCCTCACCGTACCCCCATTTTTCAGAATAAGAATCTGGGGCCCAAGAGTGGAAGGGATGTGTCCAAATCACAGAGAGAGTCAGACTGAAGAAAGACCTGAATCTAAGATCCCTAACTCCTACTTCCAACCTGTGAGCACAAAATTGAGGGATTAAGCAGGGCATCAAGCTTGGTTGGCTACCAACCCAGACTCTGGAAATCTGGGATGTTGAGGGTGGCACTACTTCTTCTCTAACTTGGGGGCATTGATGCAATACTAGCTGAAAATCTGAATTTTGGGGTGATGGAATTCTGAGGATCTTGTTCTGGAATGGGCCTTTTGAACTTACCAGGTCACAAGTTCCATCCACTCTCTTCACTGCTCACTGAGTTCCCCCATAAGCACCAAGGCAAAGAAAGAGTAGCTGAAGCTAATAGCCCTCTTTGAATGCCACCCAGCTAATCAAAAGGCCTCTTTCCCACAAATAGTTAGCCACCCAGAACTAGTTACAGAATATATACTCACGCTCCAAAGTCTGCCTCTCCAAGGCACGTCCCTTACACATCTTTACGGTTCTCCTTGTGGCATCTCCCTACTCTCCTCCATGTGGACATGCCATCTGAGGCATTCTAAGCATGCACCAGACCCTTATTATGAAAATACACCTCTTTCAAAAGGAACAGGATAGGTAAAAGGGGTGAAGATTGTATTGTATATTAAGAAGCTATGAGGAAATCCAATAATGGAAATATGGAAGTGTGGTGAAAAATGTTAAGGCAAGGATCAATGGAGTCAAGGACCAAAGTGACATTGTCACTAGAATACCAGAACTAAAGTGATATTGTCATCAGATATCCTACAGATCACCTGGACTGAAAAAGGAAATAGATAAAGAATTTAGGCAACAGATCAGGATCATGGCATGGTAGTATGATATGCTATTGATGTGGGGTTTCAGATATCTGATAGTGGCTTCTCTCTCTCTGCCCAAAACAGAGCTGCTAACAATTTCTTGACATAACTTATTGATAATTTCACCCTACAAAAAGTGAAGGAACCAACCAGGAGAACTGCTGTTCTGGATCTGACTTTCATGAACAAGGAAGAACTTGTTACCAAGATGAAATCAAAGGGAACTTTAGAGAGAAATGACTTAGAATTTGTGATGCAGGAGAGGAAAGCTGGTCACAGTCTAGCATGTATCCTAGATTTAGGGCAGAAGAATTCAAAGAGTTCAAAGAAAGAATTAGCCCTGTCCCAGGGTCTAAAATTCTGTGGGAGAAGATAGCCTTTGATAAAAGTCTGAAGACACAAAGAGAAACAATTCCAGTGGTAAGGACAAAGGGTAGTTGTCTAAAGACTAATGTGGATGCACAGAAAGCTCACCAACCAAGTTGGACTTTAAAAAATATGTGCAGCAGATAAAAGCTGGGGAAGGTGACAAAGGAAGGACACAAAGGCATGACATAGTTCTAGGAGAAGTGTCAGAGTCATAAAATCTCAGAACAACAGAAAGAGTGGTTCTTAAAGTTATATTGGGGGGAAGGGAGGAAAGAAGCCCAAAGAACAGCTGGAACTGCTGCTGGAGAGCATGAGGTGGTGTTAATTGAGGTCAGACAGAGGACAAAATTGTTCAACTGTTATTTAGCTTCTGTTTTTTTCCACAAGGGAAAATAATCTTCAGACTACAACAGAGAGAACAAAAATGGCTCATAAAGAGTTTATGCCCAGGGAAAGTAGGGAGATAATTGCCCTGGATGAATTAAAATCCCAAAGCCCTGAAGAGCTATGCCTTAAGAAACTGAAAGAATTATTGGATGTAATTGTGGAGTTATTGTCCACCATTTTTTAAAGACCATGGAAACAGGAGAGGTACTTGAAGAATGAAAAAAGGCAATGCTGTTCCAACTTTCAGGGAAAAGGGGAAGAAGAAAGAACCAAAGAAAGAGAGAGAGATTAGAGTCTGCAAATAATATACCAGTGAGCTTTATTTCAATTTCCAGAAAAACATCTCATTAGAGAAATAGTTAGAAATATCTGGAAGAGGATGTGGTGGTCATAAAGAATGAGCAGAATAACCTCAGAGTAAGCAGATGAGCAGATCAGGAAAATTCAGTAGATACCACTTTACCTAGATTTTGATTTAACTCTCAGGTATCATTGTGGAAAGCAGAATTTGACTGAGGAGAGGTTTACCACCTCCTCAAAAAAGACATAGAGCTGATTCTCCTAGACCATGCCTGTCCCCAACAAAGGGGCCAGGTTTGAGTGCAGCCTTCCTTTTGGTCACCACTCTCAACTCATATCTGGCTTCCTTATGTGGAAGGCTAAATGTTTTTCCTGGGCCTCCTGTATTTGAAGCAGTATAGCAACACAAACAATTAGAGGGTTCACAGTTTATTTGTTTGTTTTTAGCTTAGAGGCCATGGTCCTCAGTACCATAGGAATCTCTCTGCTTTTTGGATGAATTTAAGAATACAAGTTATCAATATAAATCATCACAGCTCAACAAGCCGCAAGTTTGACAGATCCCACCAACTGGACAGAAATGAGGATCTCCACCCTGTTTGAATTCTGTGTATTCAATCTAGCCAGTGACATTTTCCTATGATCCTTTTGGCATGCAGTGAAAACCAGACATGACTCAGAAGCAATGAAGACTCATCTTATCTTTATCTAGGGCAAGTCATCTTTAAAGTGCCATTGAAAGCATCAAATAGGCAGCATAAAAGGAATATAGAATTTAAATATCTATTTTTAGTGGGGGATGGAAGGCTAGGAAGAATAAAAAGAAGTACTTCATCAGCCTCTTGGCTTATTGGCCAGGGGGAAATTGCCCAGGGATCAGGCATATCCCATATTTTGTATGGATGAAGATGCTGACCCCCGATGGAATATGAGCACGCTTAAAATCATTCTTTTCTACCTCTGTCATCAGCCCATTTGTATACCTGTCTACTCCCCTCTCTTCTCTACTGCAGAATGATTCAGCAGTCCCTGATCCGATGGAAAATTCCACTCTCTAGCTCTGAGTTCACAATGGCTTTATAAAGGTCACTTCCTATCTCTGAGTCTGAAATTAGGATCTAAAATTAAATACCACAGTAGAGAAAAAATGTGTCCCTTGCCCCATAAGACATAATGCCACACTTTCACCTAACAGGTAACACCTCCCATTTCCTAGGATCTCTGTTTCTACAATCATTCATTGGATTTCCAGAGGATGGCTCACAACACAGAATTTCATAACAGAAGGAAGCTACAAACTGTAAATTGCCCTTTTCTTGGATATACAAGTTACACAGGAGTCCTCCTGTGAAGCTTCACTGTGGCTCTCAGGTGACCCTGCATTCTCTGCCAGCAGAATATAAGCTCTGGCATACTCTACCAAGCTGTAAAAGCTTTAAGTAAGAATCTGGTAATGAACTGGTATACATACGTGTTGTTGGAGGATTAGCCCACCTAAATCTAAACAACATCATAGTGAGGTGATAGTGGGTGATTAATTTTCCCCATAGTAATTTTTGACAATTATCTGCTAAATTATAGAGCAGATACTATCAGAGGCTGGCCTCTGTAAGATGAGATATTCTTATATTTTGTAGGGAAGACACATCTACAAAATTATGGGCTCTTGAAGAAATGAAATGTGGGATGGAGAAATAATCCCTGAAAAGTAGAAGTTTATAGGAAGGGAAAGAGAGTCAACCACTGTAGCTGGGGCTTCTCTCATTTATAATTATTCATTTCAATTCAATAATCATTTGTTAAGGGCTTACTACATGCCAGGCACTAGGCTAGACAGATGCTAATGATACAAAGGTGAAAACAAAATAGCCCTTACCCTCAAGGAGCTTTTATATCCTCCTCAAAACCGGTAAGGCAACAGTCCAGAGACGAATTTGAGGAGAAGCAAGATAACTTGAAGAGAGAAAGAATAAGGAGCAACAAAGATTAAGAAAGGTTTCTCAGAAGAGCCACCTGAGCTGAGCCTTGAAGGAAGACAAGGGTTTTGTAAGGATATACCCACTACACTAGGTGGCTCAGTGGATAGAGTGCTTTGCCTGGAGTCAGGAAGACTCCTCTTCCTGAGTTCGAATCCTGCTGCAGACACTTAACTAGCTGTGTGACCCTAGACAAGTCACTTAACCCTGTTTGCCTCAGTTTCCTCATTTGTAAAATGAGCCAGAGAAGGAAATGACAAATCCCTCCAGTATCTTTGCCCAAGAAAACTCCAGATAGGGTCAGAAAGAGTCAGAAATAACTG